AGTGAACGTGAGGTTCTGCATTGCTGAGCAGATACAGTCATGGAACTAATATAAGTGTGTATGATAACATAATAGATTTTTGCTCTCAGACTTTAATGGCTGAATACCAGGTGTTTTGGCAAAGGAGGTGGCTAAAGGTTAGAACTGGAAGGCTATGTTGTATAAATGCTAGTATTTCTTTATTATTAAAACCAAACAACCAACCTCCACCTCCAAAGCAAGCCAGTATTGTCTATTGTAAAAAAAGCCTCCAAAGTGTAAAGTTGACTACATTAATGGAATATGTATCTGTATGATTAGGCAAACAAAACCATTCCAGATTGCTTATAGTCTGAGAATTCAAAGGCTGAGTGAACCATTGTTTTCTTCCTTTAGTGGCAAGCTAAACTCGAAGCTTTAACTTCCCTGTGTTCCTCTTTATCATGGGGATTGACGTATGGTTGTTTCTGATGCATGTTCAACAACATCGAATAGACCCAATCATGGACCACAGCCTTACAGTGTTTAATGCTTTACCAATAGAGAATAAATTGACAGTGTCTAGTTATTGAAGCATGATATTTTAGTGACACACAGGGGAATAACGAGGGCTCAGTGATGACTGATAGTCTGTGGTCTTGGCTTTTCAGGAGGATGTATGTGTGTATGTATGCTATGTCAGTACACATGTTGGCTTTGTTTTCCAAGACTTCGTTTATTATGTTTTGCTGAGATTATAACCTTTTCACCACTTGACTTTTTTGAAAGAGAGACATCAAGTAGCAAAAGAAGTCCTCTAAGTGATTTACAACTAAGAGGAAACTCTCGAGCAAAAGCAAAATACTAGGACTTCGCCGCTTCTCAGAGCCAGAGGCTCCTGCATATGTGGGACAGTAGGTCCTGCTGTTGGACTGGCCTGTTCTGTGGCAGCTCCCAGTGCCTCCCTTCCCACAGTACAGGCTTTCCATTCGTCTGCCTGGATCTCCATGGCTTTCCTGTCTCTCCCTTCCTCCTTGGCAGGGATGGCCTTGCCCAGTAATTGATCCATGGGGAACTTCAGCTTGCATACACTGTTGAGAAGTTTTATGATGTCACAGTCTTTGACTGCTTGCCCTCCATTGACACTCTCATCACCCTAGCAAAAAAATTATTTAAAATCTTACTCCTTTTCTGGTTTGTGGTTTGTTTTTTTTTTGGCAGGTGCCTGTGTTGAAACCTATGGATTTGATGGTAGAAGTCACTCCCCGGAGAATCTTTGCTAATGGTCACACCTATCATGTCAACTCAATATCTGTCAACAGTGACTGTGAGACATACATGTCAGCAGATGATCTCAGGATTAACCTCTGGCATTTAGCAATCACAGATAGGAGCTTCAGTATCCTTTATTGTGGTTCCTTGCTCAGTGTTGATAGTATTAGGGGGCCTTAAGAAAGCTGTTTTAAAATTTTTTTTCTGCAGGTGGTAAAATACACCTTTACTTACCAGGATCCCTGCAGTATTTGTAACAGAAAATGCTCAGGTGTCATAAGAGATGGCTAAGAAGCTGCAAAAATCAGGGAATTTAATGTGAAAAATAACGGTCTTGGAGTTGGTTAATGACAAGTAAATCAGAAACTAATGCCAGCTGAATGGTAACTATTCACCTGACTAGAATACTCTATACTGTTATTTCCTGAAGACATTTCATGCTGAGCTACTCCACCTTGTTTTGCTGAAAGGTCAGTCCTTACCCTGACTGTGCCCCTATTCTCCATCATCCTGCTTGCCAGAACCCTAATGCCTGAGGTGTGCGCAGTTTGGGGGTAACGCTCAGCTGCTTTGTGTGAGTTGTTGTGTCTGTCACTAATGCAATCGTTGCTGTATCAAGTGGTGGCATCGTCCTGAAAGCTGTGCTGTGGGATCATTCCGGTCGTCTGTGAGGCTCCCCTTGCACTGCATAGGGTGGCTTAGAGGAGGAGCAAAAGAAAGTGTAGCCAAAAAAAATTATTCTCTGTGTTTTGCAGAACATAAAGGGACCAGTAGGAAGAGAAATAGCTTATGGGGCCATCTCAGAATGTTATGTTCCTTTGGTGATTTCTTTTTAAGTATTTCAAAAGGAAGTAGAAGAATATTTCCCTGTGGATTTGTATGAGGGACTATTAGACATCAAAGTGAAGCGTCCTACCAAATTCCTACAAGAAAGCACCGATGTGACGGGGTGTTTTCCCTGTCTCTGGTGATTCTTTATATTTCTTCCTTCATAGGCCAGATCATCTGTGGAGCTTAACTCATGCTTTGTTAATGTCACAGGAAACATTCTCATTAAATCAAACAACTCTTAATGTCCTTAAAAAGACTGCCTTTGCAGGATCAAGTGACAGGTGCCTTTACCCTGGGGATTGTAGGGAGTATCTCCTCAGTTTGTTTCCAAACTCCTATTCTTTTTCTGTCTTTCACCTGTCCAGGTTAAGCAAAGTAAGTGGTGCCCTCTTTAATATGGCTGTTTATATAGAACCAATTTATATGTATTTCGTCAAAGTCCAGCTATGTCTGCCTTCGCTATCCAAGCAACTGTACTTCCATTCTTTAGTAAGAGAGAACAGAGTGGGAAAACTGTTTGTTACCACGTCTGTATGGGGTAGCAGCACGGCTCCTGACAGTGTCCTCTGAACTGTAGCTTCACCCTCCAGTCTGGTCTCTGTACTGGACACTTTTATACGAGGCTGCTGTTTGTCCTCCTCCGCTGTGTGTCCTCCTCTTTCTCCTAAAGCTGAGCAGTGAGTCAGGCCAAGCACAGCAATCTCTGTGTGTCTGTGCATGATAACCAGATCACATTCCAGAATACTTATGCAAGATAAGTCTTTGCTTTTGGCAATCCCTTTTATTGTGTTAAAAGCTGCTTTATAAACTATGAATTGCCAAGAGAAAAGTTTCTGACAAGTTTTAAAAAAACAAATAAATAGTTATTATAGTTTGTGAGGACAACATGAGTTTTTATTAAGTCATTTGCCATGCTAAGAGCTTGCTGACAGAAATATCAGTCCCAAATGAATTTTTAAACCCCAAATGTGTGTAAATCCTTGAAAAGAAAAGGCTTACTATGGGAGTATTGATACAATCAGAACAAAAGTATTGTGAATATGGTAGTGTAAAATAATTCTTAGCATTTATGCAGAGCTTTTTATCTTCACATCCTTTATATATGTTGATCAATTTATCCTTACAAAAGATTAAGAGGCTGTTAGATAGATGAATTTGTCTACTATTTTGTGGATGAGTAAATTGAGGCAGAAAATTTAAAGAAATTGCTTATGGAAACTATAAATTTCATAGACCTACATTAACATTAACAACAATTTCATTTGCCCTTTCTGTGAAAACACTTGTTTGCAGGCTTCAGAAGCACTTGGCCTCCGATGGTGTTTCAAATTCTAGCAATATACTAGGAAGGAGCTGAAAAACAGCCACGTGGACTCTGTTTCAAGCATTAGCACACTCCTGTTGTTGAATATTTACTGATAAAAAGTGTTTGAGAGATTGTGATTGAATCACTGATTTAACTCTTAAAACATGAGACAATTTATACTAGCATGCTCAATTTCTGAGTATGTTCTAAGCGTGATGATGAGGGGCAAATTACGAATGCTTTTCTGAGTTTTAGGACAGGAAACTTTTCCTGTATCTGAGACAGTGGCTTTGGGATATTTATGTGCGTTATTTTGGGATAACTGGATTTCTCTCCTGGACTGGGATACAGATATTGCTGCTTCTTTGAGATACACATGAACAAGCATCTGGGAGGACTGTGATGAGAGAGTTTTGGAAGTGGTGGGGAGAACACTAGGTAAAGGAATGATCGATGCTAGGGGCAAACTGCTCTTGCTAAGCTGGCCATGGTGGCAGCAGATGGGCTTGTGTGGCTGGATACCAGTAGGTATTCAGCAGAGTAGACTGAGTTAGATAGGCTGTATCCACTTCTGTTTCAGACAACATAAGCTGTATCTGTACTCAGTTGTCCAAACCAGATCATCAAGCAGATTACTTTTACTTAATTCTTTGATAAGGAGGAAAATTGAGATAGGTGTTCCAAAAGAAGGTGAGATAGTTACAGAATTTACTCATCTTGGGGAATTAACCAGGCGACCACGGTAACTGGAAGAAGGGGATGAGTAAGTTAAACCTGTATCAGTCTTTCCACAGGTATCTTTTTGTCCTTATGGTGCCCTCTAAATCCTTGTAAAATGCAGGGGCACATTTTCCACTAGATTTCAACATCCGTCCCGTAAAGAAACTGCATTTCTGTCCTACAGAAAACCCAGTTACATAAAGCTCCCCTGGATGTAGATGAGCTTCTGGTAAAAACATTGGGTGTGCCGGCTGCAATTAGGACTAGACGTATTAAGATGAAAAAATTCTGCCAAGGAAACAGTTTAAATTATAAATGAATGTTGCTGGGCTCGGTGCCTTCTGCAACACACTTAGGGGGACAGGCAGGAGGAGGCTCAGGCAGTTTTAAAAATGCTTGCTTCACATCTTTTTACTAGATGCAAAATGGAATTGAAGCATCTTGCTGTTTTACATGCGAGGCTTGATTCCTTGAAATACATGTTTAAAACAATAAATAGAAAACATTTTGGTTTAAAGTGGTATTTGTTAATAAGGGATCTGGCAGTGATGTGTATTTGTCTTTCTGCTTTCCCTCAGAGGCAGCACTGCTACATATAATGAGCTACAATCTGTTTACCCAAGAGGCTGGCTGTGACAGTGACACAAACAGCAAATACAGTGCTAGATTTTCTGGACATTCAGCTCATGTTTGAACATCTTTACAAATTGCATGGGAAACGCTGGAGAAAGAATGGATTAGCAGTGGTATGCTGGGGTGTTTTTCAAGTAAAGTACTTAGTCTTGTAGAATTTTATTTGAGAACAGTTATAAGCATTATTTTAGCAGTTTTACAAATCACTGAGAATTGTTCCTTTCTTTGAACATGAAAAGACAAAGCAATGCGCATCTTAAGTTAATTCTCCTTCTGTCTCCTTTGGAAAATATTTTAAATGAGCTTTGCAGAATTTGACCAGAATATTTGCCTTAGGTAAAACCTTAGGCAAATAAAATACAATTAGTGGTTTTCTGATTTGCTTTTGCATTAGCATAAACACTAACTGGGGTAAAAAGCAGACAAGTGAGTTTTATGCTATGGCTGTGTAAATTTTCATGAGGAGTATGCAAGAGTTCTGTACATTGCTTCTCACTTGCAAGCAGATTTGCTCAGTATCGTTTGGGCAGGAGGAGGCAAGGGAGAGGAGGAGGTGAGAGAAAAGGGAGGGGGAAGGTCAGCTGGTAAATAATTGCACATATGAGGCTTTTCTTCGCTAAAAGGTTTAATGTGTTTGGTTTTGTTATGGAGAATGAGAATCAGTGTCCTTAATTATGGATGATATTCTTCACTAGAAAAGAAGTGAGGTTAAGGTTGCTGTATTTGTTAATGTTCAGTCTAAAATGGCTTAGCGGTGTGGCCCATAACTTAAGCCTTTAGATAAGTCATCTTGGGTGTAGTGAAGGAGAAAACAGGACTGCTGGAAGCATACTGATAAGGCTTACTTCACATCAGCAGCAATCTTTGGACTATCTAGCTGTACTAAATATTCTTTATGAGAATGTATTTGGATTGCTCACAGAACTATGTAGCTCGTAGCACTTGAACTCCCTTCATTTCCTGGTAGCACACTATTTCAGTCTAGAGGCTGTCATGGCATTGCTATGGAAACAACATCACTGTTTCCAGCATGTACTCATCTTGAGACTCATCTTGACTAAAATACTCATTTCTCAGTCAGATCAATATAGTCTAGGGTTACCCTGTTTTAATAAAAAATTCCTTCTTCTGTGTCCCCAAAGGGTTAAGCTAATTAACAAATTACCATAGGGCCTTCTTATAGTCTAATGTATTCCAGTATTTGAAGCATATCATGGATAGTCAGATCGTTAGGCACCGTATCTTGGGGAAGTCAATTTACTTCAGAAGTAAACAACAACATAAAAGAAAAGAACTAGAAACAGCAAAATAACCTGGTACATTGATGGAGACCAAGTCTGTGGCAGCCCATTGTGCACCGGAATATAGGGCATATATAGGGCACGTAGTGCTCTGGGAGCAGCCCCCAGGCTGGGGAAGATAGCTAGCCTTACAAAACCCCTGTTACCTGCCTCAGTGCTAAGCATTTGAATGCTAGCCCAAAAGCAAATCTGCAGTATTCTCTTGGCATTTGTGGAGCTGTAAGCTGGCAAGTTTATGCCCTTGAGTGAGAGAAGGTTGTTTCTATAAAAATTCCTCAGCCAGGATGACTGTGCACAAGCTGTGAGCACAAGGATGCATTTTCTGCACTCTCGAAA